AAAAAAAAATAGAAAAACTAGCCAGGCATTGGGGCAGGCACCTATAGTCCAGGTATATCCAGGAGGTAGAGGCAGGAAGATCACTGGAGTCCGAGACTTTAAGGCTGCTATGAGTTATATTGACACCAGGGCAACAGAGTAAGACTCTTGTCTCAAAATGTGTGTGTGTGTGTGTTTTACTGTGCTTTGAACTTCTTTTGAAAATAATTAATGATCTTTAAGAATTTTTGAGGCACACTCGTTGAAAATCACTGGTCTAGTCTACCCGTCTCATTTTGCAGGTTCAAAATTGAGGTCTAAAATGGTTAGTCAACTTGCCCAGATTCATACAACTGACTTTTCTTTCTAATACTTCACATTGGATTTGACTTTTTACAAGTTATAATTAGAAAGGAATCAGAGATGGGCAAGTTATGAAAGACTTTATAGAGAGCATTATTATTATAAGTAGAGAAGAGATGGATGTTACTAAGGGGGAAAACTACAGTGAATAAAGTTGTGTGTGCGTGCATGCATGCATACATACGTACATGTCCTGGGAACAGAACAGGCAAGTTGGATTGATATTAGCTAGATCTTCTTCCTTTATAACAGTGTAGAGGTAATAATATGTAAAATAACAATTATAGAGCCTGGTGCATTAATAAAATGTTAACTGTACATTATTATTGCTGTTGACTGGTCTTATTGGTTATATTGTTGACTTTGTTGTGGTTATTGTTATAAGGGAGGCAGTACAGAACAGATGTTAAGACTGTGAGTTCTTGACTCAAACCTCAGCAAGTTAATTTCTTCAAACCTTAGTTTCCACATTGGTAAAATAGAAATAATAGTATCCACCTTGTAGGTAGTAGTAACAATTAAACCAGAAAATGTATGTTGATGCCATTCCTGCTTTATAATAAGTACTTTAATAAATATTAGCTTGGGCCAAGCACAGTGGCTGATGAATGTAATCTCAGCATTTTTGGAGGATCACTTGAGACCAGGGTTTGAGACCAGTATGGGGAACATAGCAAGACCCCATCTCTACAAAAAATAAAAATAATTAGCTGAGCATGGTGGCACACACCTATAGTCCCTGCTACTCAGAAGGGTGAAGTGGGAGGATTGCTTCAGTGAGCTATAATCTGGCTACTGCACACCATACTGGGTGACAGAGCAAGAACCTGTATGTTAGTCCATTTTGTGCTGCTATAAAGGAAACTTGAAACTGGATACTTTTCTTTACTATGTAAAGAAAAGAGGTTTATTTGGCTCAAAGTTCTACAGACTGTACAGTCATAGTGCCGCATCTATTTCTGGTCAGGGCTTCAGGAAGCTTCAAGACAGAAAATGAAGTGGGAGCAGGCATGTCGTATGGCTAGAGGAGCAAGAGAAGAAAGAGGGGTGCCAGGCTCTTTTAAGAGGAGAAAGAGGGGAGCTGTCACATGAACTAATAAAGCAAGAATTCACTCATTATTGTGGGTAGGGAACTAAGCCCTTCATGAGGGATCTGCTGCCATAACCCAAACACCTCTTCCTACTCAATAGTGTTTCTGGCTCCAAACTCTTCCTCACCCACCACCTTATCCAATCAACATGTTTTATGAACTTTACCTTATAAATATCTCATCTATTTATTTCTTCTATTTTTTTATTACTGTAATTTAAATTGTCTTCATTTCTCAGTTATATTACTACTCTAGCTTCCTAACTAGTGGTCTCTTACCACCAACATTCTCATTGCCAGTTCTTAAAACCCTTCAGTGCCTATCCTTTGTTTTGTTGTTATTGTTGTTTGTTTGTTTGTTTTTGAGACAGTCTCGTTATGTTGCCCTCTTGGTAGAGTGTTATTGCATCACAGCTCACAGCAGCCTTAAACTCTTGGGCTTAAGTGATTCTCTTGCCTCGTCCTCCCAGGTAGCTAAGACTATACGCACCCGCCACAACAGGTGTAGTTGTCAGTTGTAGTTGTCATTGTTCTTTGGCAGGCTTGGGTAGGTTCGAAGCTGCTAGCACCAGTGTGTATGGCTGGCTCCCTAGCTGCTGAGCTACAGGCGCTGAGCCCTATCTTTTGTTTTTAAGATAAAGTCTAAATTCTTCAAAAGTGTTGATAGTGGTCTGCATCATTTGGCCTCGGCTACACAGTATAGCCAAATGGAGCAGCTGTCAGTTTTTTGAGACCCATGCTATAAGTGAACACCTTCAGATCTTCACATATATATCTTCCTTCTGCTTAACTAAGTCCCAGTGGTCTTTCACTTCTCAGCTTGGACTTTCTTCAAGAAGCCCTTCAGTAATACCCCAACATCATCTGAGATTGGATTAGATGTTCTTGTGTCTTCCTGTAGTACTTTTCTGCTTATCCCTATTACAGTATGTTATATACTGCATTATTATTAACCTATTGAGTTGCCTCAGACTCTCTGAGGCTCTTGAAGAGTAAATATAATATTCTGCTAGGTTGATCTGTTTCAACAGTCAGTACCTAGTATAGTGCCTGACAAAATTTGGCTTCTGAAGATTATTTAGTAGTCAGAGTATATACTGTTTTTTTCTTTTAGTTATTTTAAGTTATTCCAGTAGTTTTGGTAGTGGTAAAAATTCCAACAGAAGTGTGTGTATGTGTACAGTAACTGAATATATTAATGGAAGTGTTACAGTGTTTTAGGTAATTAAATGTTTTTAAGATTGGTAAGTTAGGGCAGCACCTGTGGCTCTGTGGGTAGGGCACCAGCCCCATATACTGAGGGTGGCGGGTTTGAACCCAACCCTGGCCAAACTGCAACAAAAAATAGCTGGGCATTATGGCGGGCATCTGTAGTCCCTGCTACTCGAGAGGCTGAGGCAAGAGAATTGCCTAAGCCCAGGAGTTAGAGGTTTCTGTGAGCTGTGATGTCACGGCACTCTACTGAGGGCAATAAAGTGAGACTCTGTCTCTTTAAAAAAAAAAAAAAGATTTGTAACTTAACATAAAATATAATCAGAAACATCTGCTTACAGCACAAGTCAAACTTTTATTTATTTTGAGACAGAGTATTACTCTGTTGGTCACAGTATCATGGCCTATCACACATATGATAGTATATGTGTGGTTTTGTACATACACAGAGTCACTCACCACATCAAACTCCCAGACTAAAGTGATTCTCCTACTTCAGCCTCCCAAGTAGCAGGGACTACAGTTGCCCACCCACAAATGCCTGGCTTATTTTTCTATTTTTTTTTTAGTAGAGATGGTGAGAGAGAGAGAGAGAGTGTGTGTCTGTCTCTTGTTCAAGCTGATCTTGAACTCTAGGGCTTAGGGATCCTCCTATCTTCGCTTCCCATAGTATTAGAATTACAGACATGAACCACCATGCCTGGCCAAGTCAAACCTTTAAAAAGCAGTTTTTTATGACTTTACTTTTATACTCTCTACAGTAAAATATTTAAATTTTAAGTAAACCTTCTAAATTAAGTATTTAAAATAAATTTTGTCGGCTCGGCGCCTATAGCTCAACCGGCTAAGGCGCCAGCCACGTACGCCTAAGGTGGCGGGTTCGAATCCCCAGCCCGGACCCGCCAAACAACAATGACGGCTGCAACCAAAAAATGGCCGGGCGTTGTGGCGGGCGCCTGTGGTCCCAGCTACTTGGGAGGCGGAGGCAGGAGACGCGCTTGAGCCCAGGAGTTGGAGGTTGCTGTGAGCTGTAATGCCGTGGCACTCTGCCCAGGGGGACAGCTTGAGGCTCTGTCTCAAAAAAAATAAATAAATAAATAAATTTTGTCTTGATTTTAGTTTGTGAATTTTTTTTAGTAGTTGGAGAAAAGTTGTGGTAGTTCCCTACTGTGTTAGAAACAGTTGTCAAGTGTAGTTCTTTACTCCGTGAGACTGGGAGTTGTTTCTAAACCACATAGTTGTTAGTAGCACAGATTTACTTAAGTTTCCAGTCTGATCTGTAACTATGGGTAAGTAATTTGGAATATGTATAGTATTTGTGAGAAAAAACTTTTTGTAAATTAAATTCCATAAACTACTCTGTAGCTTTAAGTTAATTTCTAATTTAAAGTATACCACAGACTTTAAACTATAGCCAATCAGTAATACACTTTTTTGCAAATTTTTAAGGTAATTATGAAGGTATATAAAACGTAAGGTATTCTTCTAGTCTTAGAATGGACAGACTCAAGACACAAGATTATATTTGAATCCTAATATAAATTTTCAGTGCTTTTTATTATCAGAATTTTCAAAGATTATTTTTTAAAGCATATTTATTCTCCAGAAGCCTGAACTTTTACCTGTGGCTCTCATTAGTAGTGAATATTCTAGTATATATGTAGTGTAGGACTTACAGTAAAATGTAGGAATTATAAAAAAATTTTGGATATCATCTGTTTTTATATAACATCCTTTTAAATTTCATATTAACTTTTTATCCTTTGAGGGAATTGATATAAGTTTAATGAAAAATACATAGTAAGGCCGGGCATGGTGGTCCACACCTGTAATCCTAGCACTTTGGGAGGCCAAGGCAGGTGGATTGCCTGAGCTTGCAGGTTGGAGACCAATCTGAGCAAGAGCAAGACTCTGTCTCTCAAAATAGATGGTCATTGTGGTGGGTGCCTATAGTCCCAGCTACTTGGGAGGCTGAGGCAAGAGAATTGCTTGAGCCCAAGAGTTTGAGGTTGCTGAGAGGTATGATGCCATAGCACTCTACTGAGGATGAAAAGTGAGACTCTTATCTAAATATATATGATATATATAGTATATGTGTGGTTTTGTACATACACAGAGTCACACACCACATAATAACAACATTTTCGTCAACAACAGACCACATATACCACAGTGGTCCCATAGGATTATAATACCATATTTTTACTGTACCTTTTCTATGTTTAGATACGCAGATAACCACTGTGTTACAGTTTCATACTGTACAGATTTGTAGCCTATGAGCAGTAGGCTATACCATTATAGCCTAGGTGTGTAGTAAACTGCTGTGCCATCTAGGTTTGGATAAGTATAGGTATGATGTTTGTCCAATGAAATTGCCTAAAAATGCATTTCTCAGAACATATCTTTATTGTTAAGTGATACATAATTGAATATGTCTGCACAGCCCAATTTGTGTAGCCATGTGGCTATTGAGCACTTAAAGTATGGTTAGTCTAAATGGAGGTGTGCTCCTAAGGTGGCAGGTTCGAATTCAGCCTGGGCCCGCCAAACAACAGTGATGGCTGCAACCAAAAAATAGCCGAGCATTGTGGCGGGTGCTTGTGGTCCCAGCTACTTGGGAGGCTGAGGCAGGAGACTCACTTGAGCCCAGGAGTTGGAGGTTGCTGTGAGCTATGATGTTACAGCACTCTACCCAGGGGGACAGCTTGAAGCTCTGTCTCAAAAAATAAAATAAAATAAAATAAATGGAGGTGTGCTGTGTTTAAAACATACTGATTTCAAAGATTTAGTATCATACAAGAGTGTAAAATATTTCAGTAGTAATTTTATATTGATTACATGTTGAAATAATATTTTAGATGTAATATACATATCAAAGTTAATTTTACTGTCTTTAATTACTAGAAAATTAAAAATTACATATAGATCACATTCTATTTCTTTTGGACATCTCTGATCTGGAACATTTTTTAAGTTTTTAATTTTAATTATTATTTTATTTTATTTATTTATTTATTTATTTATTTTGAGACAGAGTCTTATTATGTCACCCTCGATAGATGGCCGTGATGTTACGGCTCACGGCAATCTCAAACTCTTGGGCTTAAGCGATTCTCTTGCCTCATTCTCCCAAGTAGCTGGGACTACAGACTCCCACCACAACGCCTGACTATATTTTGGTTGCAGTTGCCATTGTTGTTCTAGCAGGCCCGAGCTGGGCTTGAACCTGCCAGCTTCAGTATATGTGTCCAGTGCCCTACTTACTGAGCTATGGGCGCTGAGCCTTTTTTTTTTTTTGAGACTGATTCTCACTCTTTTGTCTGGGCTAGCATGCCATAATCTCAGCCTAGTTAATAGCAACCTCAGACTCCTCGACTCAAGCAATCCTCCTGCCTCAGCTTCCCAGAGTAGTTGGGACTATGGATGCCTGCTAGAACACCCAGCTAATTTTTTTTTTTCTATTTTTAGTAGAAATGGAAGTCTCTCTTTTGCTCAGGCTGGTCTTGAACTCCTGAGCTCAAGGAATCTTCCCACCTTAACCTCCCCAGAGTGTTAGGATTATAGGCATGAGCCACTGCACCTTGGAACTTTTTTTTTTTTAAATAAAAATTGTTTTCTGTAATTTATGGTTAAAATTGAAGATTTTTGGTATTGAGAGTTAACTTTCTAGTAGTCTTAGGTTATAGCTTGACATCTAAATATTGGCATTCTACAATTAGATGCAAAAGTGAAAACTATAAAATTAAAACATTAGCAAATAAAATTATTTTAAAGTCTTGCTTTTTAGACTTGTCAACACAAAACCATGGATAACTAATCCTTCATAATTTCATGGCTGTTTAGTTGGAGCCAGTTTGCATCTATTGTGGATTACTAGCCTATTCATTGTTTTATTTATTTATGTAACAAATATTTTTTGTTTGCTTCATGTTTGCTAAGTCTGTCATTGGGAATACTCTGTAATTTTAGGAGGGAAGAAGAAATGGATGTGCATGTATACATGTTTGCTGATTTATAGATACCATCTTTCCCTGAAAATAAGATACTGTCTTATATTTATTTTTTCTCAAGACACACTAGGGCTTATTTTCAGGGGATGTCTTCCTCTCCACGCCGAAATGCATGGTGTGGTTATGCAGATACCCTGCATAGCCATGCCCATCACTAGGTCTTATTATCAGGGTAGGGCTTATATTTAACAGACACATAGAAATCCTGCTAGGGCTTATTTTGGGGGTAGGTCTTATTTTTGGGGAAACATGGTAGGATGAGGTTGAGGCAGTTCTTGTCTGTTTTGTTTGTTTGTTTCCTGTAAAGAGGTAAGGTTGTCATAGCCTATCACTAGTGATGGCTTCATGAATTGAATAAAATTAAAGGATTTTCCATCAATGGGAATCAACATTTATTGAATACTATTGGGTACCAAGAAAAATATTAAAAAATCTTGCCCTTAGAGTTTATAATTTAATTTTGTTAGGGAAATAATGGCATATAACAAAAAAAGTGAATACAACATAAGACAGCTAGGGTTGAATAAGAAATAATATGGCACATATACAGTACACAGAAGTTCAAAAGAAGAAGAGAACATAAATGACTAGAGATTTTTTTCTTCCCTAAGCTTTCTCCTTTGCTGCTTATCAAAATGGTAGCCAAGTAATCTTCACAGACTGATCTCTGTTTAAGTACTTTATGGCTCTGTACCTGATTCTCAGAACAGTCACTGATAATTTATTGTGAGAACTATATAGAAATTAAGCACAATTGTTTTTTTTTTTTTTTACCTCAGTACAGAGTTCAATACAGTATTTTTAGAACTTAGATTTGAGTACTTTAGAACAGGACAATGTTTACAAATGGCAATTTGAGATTTTTTTTTTTCTGTTTAATTTTAATAGAATTTATTGGTTTTCTTTTCCATGTGTCTTTTGGAAGGCCTCTCTGAGTTCCTCTGGTTATCTTGTTTTTGGACTGCTGCTTCTGAAGCTAAAGGCCATTTTTTGCTTCTTAGCTTTTGAACCTCCTGAAAAACCCCAATGCACAGAGCTTTCTTAGTCACAAATTGGTGGTGGGCTCTTAGGTAATACAAGGGGCGGAGGAAGGTATACTCAATTCCCACCTCCCTCCATGTCTACTTAAAGACATCATACTTGGTCTTAGGGAAGTTTTTGAGCATCTTTTTCCCCTGGTCTATGCTCATTGGGAGAGAGTTTGTGGGCTTTGTCTTTTTGATGTGTCTGTATGTGTTCTTCGTAAGTGCATACCTATGATGGTCAAGGCAACTATTCAAACCTCCAAATCTGGTGTACTCAGGGTTTGCGATGACCTTTTCATCACCACTTCTTGCTTGATTTTTACCTTTTCCTTTTTGTTGGGTATTTTCAATGAGAAGAGTCTTTTCACATCATTATCCATTTCAATTCCAGGGACATTCTGGTAGTCTTTGAGCAGCATGGAAAGGGATACAGCTCATTATCTAGGCTTAGCTGAACTAGTCTGGATGGAATATCCACTGGGGCCTGCGTCCCGGTTGAACTGTGCACCCTCACACAGTCCTATGCATGGTGACTTTTTTTTTTTTTTT